CTGAAGGAGAGCACGGGACCAGACCCTTAGGTCGCAACCGGGCGTGAACGTCCTAACTGTGGAAGGATGGTCAGACTTGCAGTGACTTTGTCTGACTGCCATATGCCACTCTTTGTTGCATAGCGGCCTCTGGATGGTATGGGGCAACAACACAACCACATGAGTGCATGATGCTGTGGCGGCGGAGCATGAGACGACAGTTGGACAGACAGCAGCACCCATTTGAATAGTGATGCATGCGTCGGTGGGATTTTACTGCATGGTACGATAGGCACCACGAACACTTGAATTTGAGAAGAAGCAATTATTGGCTCTGAATCAACCACAGTGCTGACGGCGGGCAAGTGCATGGAGCACGAATTCATGGTGAAAGTTTGAAGTTCAGCTGTTGCGCTTGTGCATGTACTGCATGATGGCTCTGGCATGGTGCATGGTGCCTGCATGAATGCATGATGATACGACCTGGTGGGACCAAATGACTGCAGGGCTGACGACTGGAGAGGGGTCTTGCGTACACAGTCTACGCTGTGAGCAACGCGTCTCTGCCGATGGTTCTAATGTTTGCAGGAGAGGTCAGTGAGTAGGCGTACCACAAGAAGGGACATGATGGAGTATACTGCTGGATGTGTTTGCAAGCATTGCTCCGTTAACTTTGTGGACTTACTTTGAGTGCAGTGTCGTGGTGACTCCATCATGGTTTCTGCGCTGACACCAGTGGTGCATGTACCTTCAACAGGAAGGCGATGGAAGTATAGTGTAATGTGCTATACGAGGCCTCCTCCGCTACCTGGGACATCCTGTCTCATATAGAATCTTATGTCTCTGAGCCGCACCCCGACCCATACGGAGGACCTCGTTGTTTCAAGCGGACATTCGTAAGGATTTGCCGCCCATAGACCACAGCAAATACCTGGACCGCCTTGGTCCGTACAACCTGTCCTGTATCGGCTTATACCTTACCTTGAACCCGTAGGCTGTGGTCTACAGATCGTAGCCCTCACAATCCAACTGTGATATAGGCGGTAGCCGGTGTTTAAGATGTAGTTGGATTGTGGGAGGGATGTGTCAGTAGTACGTGATGGGACAGTTCTCTATAGTGTTTTGGTCGACGCTTTTCTGTGGCAGCTTGACACACATCCGTAGTGTAGTTTCACCTTGCAGACTCCAACTCATATGCCTCGCCTGGATTGTCCGAGTGTGAGCGCCGAAACCACCAGTTCCTGAGCAGCTTATCCTGGCTTCAGCCGAGACAATGTCAAACTCAACAAACTTTTCGATGAGTTCGTGATGGCTGGTGAGTCATGGGGTGAGAGCCGCATCACAGCAGTGTATGTGTGGATGGAAGAGACCCACTCCCAAACCGTTTGGGAATGGTACACGAGACAGGCCGGTTGTGTTCCTAAACAAGCTCCTGCTGTGATTGGCTAGATTGAATAGGGTTTAGGGTTTGGGGCTTAGGGTTTAGGGGTTTAGGGTGGCTACGGCTCAAGCCATTTTGGCTCAAGCCATTTCTGCTACGAGGCCCTAATGGGTAGAACTTTTGCAAATTGGTGTCGCAGTTTCTCGCTTCACTGCCATGGATTCTGCGTCTCGCCGGCTGTGTGCATGCATTGGGTACGCCATTAGACAAGCAGGCAAAGCGAAATGCCAAGATGTTGCTCAGATGCTTTGGCTTTCCACATCATGACTAATCCAGATATCTCGAGACAACCTATCTCTCTTTGGTCAGCTTTGGGTTTGGATGGCAAGGAGGCTCCGGGAAGTGCCGCTTCAGATGTTCATGGGTCTTGGGAACCAACAGCCAGTCGTCTGTCATGTCTTCCTGGACCGCACAACCCAGACCGAGGTCGAGATCATCACACGTGGTGAGTTGGAGAATATCATGCACAGAAACATGCAAGCTCTCACGGCTTATCAGGACCAGCTTGAGACTTTAAGTCTACGCCTCGCTAGCTTCGAGCGGACTGGGGAGGCCGTCATGACAGGTGGACCTGCAAGCATGTCTGTTGCTTCATCCTCCAATCCTGTTCGGCGTGGTGATGGACCTTCCGTTGACGGCTTTTCTGCTGACAGGTATCCTTCCTTGTGTAGTGTGGAGCAGCTCAAGGCAACACATCGCCAGAGAAGGCTGGCGCTAAAAGAACAGAGACGAGCTGAACGTGCCAACCGTGTGGAGAAGAATATATCCCATGCTAGCGCCAATTAAATGAGTGAATATGTTTCAACCAGTCGTTCCCCAGGAACAGCTTGAGGGCGAACCCCGGTGGAGTCGCTGCAGACCGGATGCAAAAGGGTTTAGAATGGTATGATAATATCGCACATTGCCTTTATCATGATCCCTGAAGGATCTCATGGACAAGGACAAGGACCTGGTGGACGATTGATCGAGGACAAGGCAGTGTCTGTGCAACAAAACTTGTTGCCTCGAATTAAGCCTGCACCTCTTCATCCTTCAAGCCTATTCTGACTGCCCTTTGAACCTCTCTGATCAGGAAAAGGACCCCTCAATGTGGAAATATCACCCGGACTTTCCAAAGAAGGAGGCCTGCTTGGGAGATTAGATCAGGCTTGGTAGAATATTCAAAGCCCGAGATTGTTACATGTAGTTTATATTGATATCTGAATAATTTGTTCCAATCGAATATAGCCTATTATAACCTAATCCCATTTATCCTAATTAGTCCATAATCTGACCTTCCTTAAACTCTCCTGATCCTAAGCAAGTCTTGTGGACTGCCTAAAGAAGCCCCAAGCCCCGAATAAGAACCCAACCCAAAGCCACTAGACCCAAACCTAAATTAAGGTCCAAGAAGTTCGGGCTTTTGGGGGCTCGGTTAGAGGCTTAGGGGACATGATTATCACAGTTGCTTCTATTGTGTACATGTGGTCGATCGACATCTTTCTGCGGCCAAACAATGGGGTGCTGGGGATATAGGGGTTCAACGTTTCCGTGATTAATTTGTATAAATTAAATATTTGTTAGTGGGCTACGGGGTTCAGATTTAAGCTTTCGGCTATAAGGTAGAAGGGGGCTTGCATCCGGGCTCCGTGTTGTCCTTGCAGCAGCAGGCCATGCGAATGTTCAAGTGCTTCAAGCAATCCTTCGAGACCAAAGACGAGATGGAGCGGAGGAGCATGGAGTACCGACAAGAAGGAAATGTTCGTGATGTTGGGGCTCTGCCTGAACCCGATCCAGCTGGCAACCAGCAGCCCAACAAAAAGGAGGAGAACCCGAAACTTATCAAAGAGAAAACGACTCTTCAAGTGGCGAAAAGTGCACCCTAGCTGCTATAAACCAGCTCACTTGCAATTGTGCCTATATGGGAGTAGTTATCTAGATCTAGACCGCGACTACAGCCCAGACCATCGTCAGAGCGAACGCCAATCTGTTGGAAATCAAGAGCTACCCCAAGAGCCTCGCAAAAAATGGGGTGCGACTTGACTGCAATAATTGTTCGAATGTACCAGTCTTCAGTAGTCTTCAGGCTCTGTTTTTGTAGTGGGTATATGCAAGCCTTGTTTTAGGTCGAAGGAGCTCACCGATGCCCTCGTAGCCTTCATGGACACACACTCGCTGATCATCCAAAAGCATTTGGCATTGTTGCAGGCTGGAGTATAGAATATGTCGGGGATCCGAGGCATTGTTATGTCAGAATCGAAAGACTAGCTAGTCTATAGCTGTTGCAGGATGCCATCTCGAACGAGTTGGACGGTGCAGACTTGGAGCAGGTTTTGCTTCGTGCCTCCAATGCGAACCCGGCGTATAAGACAGCATCCAAACATGTAAAGTTTCACACGAAGCCGGCCCCGAAAGGGAACCCGAAAGGGAAGGCGAAAGGTAAGGCCGCCCCGAAGAAGCGCTGATGAGGATCTGATTTGCGGCTTCAGGTCCAAAAGCTTTGAAGGAACGACGACCGGCTGTGCATTTTGGAAGCCAGCTTTGGCACTAGACTACATGTGTATAACCCGAATCTATCTACTACCCTAGCTCCTCGAACCCTGAAACCAATTACGAAATGCTTAGTGTGATGAGTGCTGGCATGACGAAACAGTCGTGGAGATACCCAGGGTCAAGCTTGGGGACAATCGCCGTGCTCAAAAAGGTATTTAGTAGCAGTGCAAACCGTCTCTCTAGAGGACAGGATCTCACCCTATAACCCTAAGTTGGTTTCCCCTCGCAGGGGACCATGCCTTCGCCGACCATCTGCTGCTCAAGCTGGGCACCGGGGCCTTGGGTCTGGATCTGAAATGATTTAGGGTTTAAAGTTTAAGGATGATAAATTATAACTTTGAGGTCTTTAGGGCCGTGTACTTTGGGATGTTATTTTCAGCTTGCTTCAAAAGTAGCGTTTGGGATTTGTGAAGTTTTTTCGGGTTGCTAATATCAATATATGGGAGTTTCCGAAAATGGGGGACCCAAATATAGTCCCCTAAATAGTAGATCCTTATTATACGGCCCCCAAAATAAGATACCCCCTAATTTTCGGAAACTCCCATATATAATTACTATATATTAGCTACAACAGGGATTGCATTTTTGTTGTTAAAGCCCTGCTGCTTCTCCTAGAACCACCATTCTGAAACAACTTCATTTGTGTTGGATTACAAGCCCACTGCTTGTTAGGGCTTTTGAGCTGCATTATCCTTTAATTTTCAAAAAGTATTGTTGAGACCACGGCCAGCCTCGAACACTGAATCTGCTACTGCTCATGCTACTACTGCTGATGCTGCAATTAAATAGTACACGATCGATATGTATAAATATATATATATATATATATATATATATCCCTATTCTCCTGCTCCTATACTCCTATATGTATAGACAGCTTATCTACCCATATACTACATATGTAGTTGTTAGAACGACGTGCTATTTATTTGTGGACTGCCTACATCTATACGACGTACAAAACCAGGGTTTCCTTAATTGATCATAACCCGCCGTGCTTGAAACAAAGGCTTCGACGGCCTCGGCTATGCAACAAGCTGCAGCAGCGATGTTAGCTGAAAGCGGCGGCCATACTCGCAAGCTGGCTAGTGCTGGCTGCTCTGGCAAACACCCGCAGAATTGTCAGCGGGATGTGACCCGTGCACTCGACCTGCCGCTGGCTACTAGGCATGACAATCGACCTTGTTATTATGAGGATCCTGAAAGATTTAGCTTCGAGACCCCGGCAAACTAACCATGATCATACAAGCCCCACGATAACCCCAGGATTTGTAAGTCCCGAAACAATAACCCTGCATTCTAATTTAGCTAGGAGGGAAAAAAATTTAGTTAGCTATTTTTCGGCACCATGTATTGATAAGGAGCTCTTCTATGTCAAGGTGCCCATCAAGTGCCCCAGCGATCCGAAGAAAGAGGTGGAGTTCGATTGCCCCATAGTTTTGCCGTACGAGCTCTATGCTTTTCTGGCAGAATCTCTGGGCAAAACTGATGATTCCTAGATAGTACATATACTGTACAACTAGTATGGCTAGTGTATACTTAACCCACTGACCCAGTAGTTCTAGCCTGAGCTCGGAAAGTGGACGCCTCCGTGTGACCGAGCCGAGATTCGCAAGTACTGGGACCACGCTGCAGCCGCTGTCGCCCGAGACCCCTCGGGCGAGAACAGGCGACTTCCGGGACGTGAAAAACAGTCTAATCCATTTTGCCTTTGGGGCGATGACGCCCGGTACAATCGTTCTGGCCAGAAGCTTGTTGTCTTCACCATGAACAGTTTGCTTCATCAAAGTTCTCGAGACTGGGTCGATTTTGATCAAATCTTTTATACCGATATCTAAAAAACCCGTACCTGATGCCCCAACACTCCATCGATCGGGTTCCAGCAGGAACAGAAATGAAACGGTACCCGTTATTCAGCATCCGCGAGCACCTCTGCATACCTGGTCGCACACTTCGACCGATTTTCAGGGTCATCACTTGGAGTCTGAATGCTCCTCTCGATTTGTATCTAGAAGTCAGTTAAATTTTGTACCCAAAATATTTTGTCCGACAGTCCTTGCAACCTCAAAGACCCTTAAATGTCCATCTCAGGTTTTGTTCGAGGCCAAGCACCCGCAAGCCGGGCCGGACGGTGAGGCGCTGCCGCGACACATGGCCAGCAAAGCCGGCTCTTCAATCGATGGAGGCAGTGGTGGTGCTTCTATAGATCTAGATCTAGATCTGTGTAAATCGATCATGATCATAGCAGTCATCACTATATATAGTATCCTTTCGAAGTATGGATATGATGAATATATCTTTACTTTTGTACATCGATCTTCTTTACGGTGTGACAAAATGTCTCCTTTGTTTCAAGGCCCTAAGGGTGTTTTCAGGTGTTATTTGGGCTTCCACCCATGTTTCCCTTCGGAGGCCGGAGCGCTATTGTTAGCCAACACCGCGGTGACTGGAAGTGGATGAAGGAGTGTTGGGACCTGAAAGCATATTATCATTGGAAAAACACATTGGCCTGTCACCTTTGCACAGCAAAGCTCCATGGTCCGGACTCGAATCTAGCTGTGGATCATGATCACACCCTGTTTTCAATAAAGGGTTGAGTGGGATAAACTAATTATATAAAGTTCACTTTGAGGGGCTGGGGGACTTAGTAAGCCGTTTATACGTATACGTATAGGTTATAATTGGAGTAACTCCGTTTAGGGATACTAACTCTACTTATAATAAGTCCCTTGCCCCTCCAAGTACCTGATCTACTAGTTATTATTCGGCTGAGGTGGTCATTAGACTTGCGGCGACAACTCCCTCGACGGTCCCATGCTGATTGCCTGTCTCGTGCCATGGGAACTTTGAACCCCATGGTCCTCTTGAAAGGGTTTCATTGTTATGATATCAAGTTTTGCACAATGCACGTTGCCATTTAGGCTTCGTGCAAACCCATAATGCAAGCTGTCTGATCGCTTTGATGAAGTACTGTTGCTAGGCTTGCAGCAGCTCACCAAAGACTTTCTTTGTATGTTTTTGTTAAGCATGGCATGGAGTTAGAAGTTAGATTAATGTATTGTATATATATATATATATATAAGAGCCCGATACCTTTGGGGTCTATTTAGCTAGCTTTTTATATATACAATATCAAATGCCTAGCTAAATGATATATATATATATATATCCATATCGTGAATGTTGCAGACCGAAATCCAGAAAGTTTCACACTGATTCGGACATATAGCTTTCTGCTTTCGAAACTACCTGAACTCGCTACCCCAAGAAGGTCGCGAGTGGAAGACGCAGTCAGGCTTGTCAATCGCCCCCCCCTCACTACGCACGGTTCTCCCAAGCGCAGCTTGAATGTGAGACACATTCACTTGTGATTGTGTATGTTGTGTTTATACACACAACTAGATCTGTGTATATGGTTTTTCATATTAAAGAACATGTACATATGAGAGAGAGGTTGCGAAATGGCATGTGTGCAATGCTTAACATGGTTGTGTCGAGTTGTGAGCACACACTTCATACATCATGCGTGCGGATTTGATCTTGATGATGTTCATCGTCGCTCACCCCACCAAGCTATTGAGTAAGAGTGTGGTTGCCCTTCAACAGACTCGATATACTATCACCTTCACTCCCATGTGCAGCCCCTCTTCCCAGGCAGACAGATCCGGAGCTCGCTTGTTTTCACTTTCTTCGTGGATCATGTGTGCGGATTTGATCTTGATACTGTTCCTCGTCGCTTCAACAGACTCGATATAGTATCACCTTCACTCCCACGTGCAGACCCTCTTCTCAGGCAGACAGATCCGGAGTTAGCTTGTTTTCACTTTCGTGATAGGCGATGGTTCGCCTGTGCTCGGGATAATTCTGTTGCTCGAGAAGGTTACAGAAGACGATAGGCTATTCAAAGCTATCTGCAATGCTTTCTAGAGCTTGTGCTCGATATGGAATTGACATACCTGATGTACATCGTAGGACATGCATATGCAAATATAGTTGGTTCGGCAGAAATTCCATATAATGTGGCCTTCATCACAGCCTCCACACACTTGGATGCGATGTCTTCTGGGTTCTGAGGATGCTGCGATGCCAGGCCACAACAGTCTCGAAGGCCTGCATATGTGCAAAGATCATAGATACGTGTCTGCATTTCTTCTTCCAAGCACAAATTGCAGAAAGCAAACGCGACTTGATCTTGTTTATGCCGACTCCCGCGAACTGGCTCAATCGCGTCGGTGTGCCTTTACGCCTGCACTTCGCAGTGTGTGCATCCGTTTAACGGATAGTGGCGTGATACGTCTCTTGACGATGTGGTTCTTGCGTCCTTTACAAGCAGGTTTCTTCTGTATGTATTGCCGAACCAGTTTCGCCTCATGCCGGTTGGCAGAGGACAAAGGAAGTGTGGCCTTTTTGGGCACTGTCTCTGACGATTGTTCAGGGCACCACACGGTCCAGTCATCACCGTACCACAGCGATGAGTGCAGGGATCTGCTTAGCAGCATACTAGCACTCACCACATGCGATAGAGGATACTGGACAGATAGATAGTGCAACAGTAACTTAATGTATCTGAAGTACATTAGCTTCATAGCCAAAGTAGAGCGATGCATCGCAGTGATGCTTCGAGTCCAGGAATTCACTTCGGCATGGAGAGCTTCGTTACTCGACGTCCCGCTTGGCAGGAACCATCGATACGAAGGTTGAATGGCGTGTCTTACATGCAAGTTGTCCATCATCCACTCCAAGCGATCGGGCGAGCATGCAGACCATAGAATCTTATTGATCTGCTTGTTGGCACCTGCAATCTTTTTGTTGACTTCACTGGGATATCGTTGGCATAGTGCAGCCAGTGCCTTGATGAACTCCAGGCGGTCCGAGAACGGTACCTGCATGTCCAGCTTGTCCAGGATGTTCTTGCTCTCAGATGGAGTCATGGATGAATTCGAAATCATATCCCTGTACTTTATCTCAGCTTCGTTCGACGGATTGGGGTTCCTGCCATCGTAGAATGGACCCCAGTAATCACGACCCAGATCGTCATCCACGGCAGTACATTTCTTCAGTATGCGACGAAGCTGTTTAGATCCAGGACTCTTCTTGTTCCAAAATCCGTACTCATAAACAACAGCCAGGTGAATGGGATCGAGAATCAGAGATTTCATACATGGGCATATGCTCTGCAACTGACCGAAGAGTTTCTCGGATGGGCTGTCCGTGCCAATGTGCACCACCGCCTGAAGCTGCTCTGTGGAGAAGTTCTGGCTTAGTGCCTCCACAAGCTGCTCTGACGATTCGTTTTGAAGTGGATGCATCAAGAGGACTGCACCCGTGCGACCGCGAACGGTCAGCAGTCTCCGCCACGCCACATCGTCTCCAAAGGGCGCTTCGTCCCGCACAGCCTTCGGCGATCTGTAGGAGGCTTGGCCCATCAGCTTCATGCACAGTTTCAGAGTGGCGTCCATGCTGATATGATGCCATTCATATTGTTGCATAAGGACATTGCTCATGCTCTCCATCTTACCAAGGAACGCAGGAGATGTTGCGATGTCTTCAAGCATAGGCATCCAATGCTGAGAACGTCGTGGTAGTAAGCTAGCCAGCTTGTTGTTGGATTCGAAGGCGAACATATGACATCCCGTAGACACCGTTCGAACCTGAGTACGGCAGCAGGTCAAGCTAACTCACACAACGCTGCCAGATCCTATGTGTAGTCGTGCAGTCTAGAGGCTTGTGCATGATTCAACACCATTTCTCGTAGAAGGAGATCTGCAAAGGAGCGTGTGTAGTACAAGTTCCGGACTCGTCTGACTTGCACACTTTGGCCAAGACTGGTGACATTGACGTACTGTGGCCCGGTGGCATCGAATATCAACCGAATTTGTTTGTCGATGTGATTTTGTGTAAATGACAGTGATGGCTGGATCATTGATCTGAGAATACCAGCACTCTCCTGCAACATGTTCGAAGATGTAGTTTGCGAAGAAGCTGCGTGATCATAAAGAGCCAATATAATCTTGATCTGTTTCGTGCCGGAGCACACGTACTGATCCTTTCTGGTATGATGTTTCGCGATGTGCGTTCTCAACAGCCGAAGTTGAAAGAAAGACCTGAATGGACACGGAGGACACCTTCTTCTGCCCTCACATCTTTCTGAAATTCTATAGAGATCTTTCATGACGAAGTCTGCTTCCTCACACAAGCGGTTCATGATGTTGTCGCTGAAAACCGGCACATTGTCTTCATCGAACGATATCCTGTTGATGCCGGATGCAGCGGAGGCGTCGACCACATCACAAGTATCTTCTTCGGAATCATTTGGAGCCTCACGTGCACCTGCAACCATATCCAGCAACAATGCGGATTTGTCATCGATATTGTCGCGGGGATCTGGTTTCCAATACGACAGCATGGTGGCGTGATCCACGGCTGCAGAATGGATTTCTCGAAGCGTTGCCATGTTGAGCTTGTACACCGTGGCCCCATCCAGGATTGTAACGTCTTTCCCAGCAGCATCGACTCTGACAGCCAAACAGTGTGGGACGCCCTGTCCTTCGTAATGTATAACGAAGGATTTCACATGCGACTCCGGCAGACCAACACAGCTGGCGAGATCAATTGAACACATGGATGCTACAGAACGGTAATCTCTGTATTTCATTTTCTTGCCATCAATGTTCTTGTCCAATGTCTCGTTTGACATCGCAGCGACCACAGCCGGTCTAAGAAGTGGCATCATGTGCCAGACGGCACAGGGTATGCAGTTGCCAGGTTGCAATAGAAGAGCAGGTACATTCGTAACTGAATTGGCATGAACACCTCTGTTCTTTACCAAGTCGATGAAGGAAAAATGCTTTTTCTCCACAATCTTCACCATGAAGCCAGTCCGCATTCTGATTGCATTCTCACAATCCTTGATGAAGTCATCCTGCGACGTCCCAATGTGATCTGCGGATATTCGAAGACCATCGAAGTGAAGAGACAAGTGCTTTGGCTTGCTCGGACGACTCAATATATGTTCGGTCCAACTCTGCAGAATTATGTCTTCGACTGAGGTCTATAGCAGGGATAGGATGGTGGAAGATGGGAATGTCTTATGTTTGTTGTCCGCAAGCGACATATAGTCCTCGTGTAGCAGATTGCATGCAACCCAATGGACGTACTGTGAGAGTCTTTGTAGACCATAGACAATCTCATTGTTTTTCAATGATGGAAATGGGTTGCCACTGTTTAGAACAGTGATGATCATCTCGTTGCCCTCCACGATATGAAGCCCGAGCTGATTCAGCACAGCTGTTCGATTATTCGCCAACCGATCCAGAAGTTTCACAAGATTGTCAGGCATGGATGGCTGTGGCTCCACCTTAGCAATGATCTGCTGCAACAATGTAAGACAACAGTTCTGAATATCCAAATCGACTGTATGACCGTCTACAACGTGAGATTGCAGTCGACGGGACATGGACTGCACTCCACCATTGTTGGTGTAGCGGCGTGCTCGCACCGTGTACTGTACCTTGTCAGAATACCCATACGATACGGTGCGGCTGTGTTTCAGAGAAGTCCAACTTTTTCCATCCAGCGAGACATGATCGACCGACGCATGGTCGTCCTCCTCCACCGACTTTTTGCCTCGCAAGCGTCTTCCATGCTTTGTTGATACAACCTGCTGAAGGCAGTTTTCGTGATCTTCGAGCTTCCGGATGAGAGATTGGTACTTATGCATGATTTCTTCTGCTTCTGCTGTGCGGCGTCCTTTCTTGGAGGCGGGGATCATTGCCTTGTAGAATGCCATCATGGTGTCCACGTTCATGCTTCGACCACGGCAGCTGTAGGCATACTTTTTTACCAATCCAATGTCTTGCTCCTCCTGGAATTGCGTTCGAACATCGTCCAACGCAGCCTGTGGGCAAATATCAGCATGAGATCTGCTGAAGGTCATTTTGGGGATACATGCGCCAGGCTTTTCTTTGCCGGTTTTCTGTCTACTAAGAGCCTTGCGAACGATGCCCTTCTCCTCAAGTTGATCCCACATGACTCCCTTGGCCAGATTCGGGTGTTGGTCTGGCTTGAAGTTCATCTTCTTGAACTCGTGGAACGTCATGACGTCCAACTCTTTCTCCAGCATGTACGTGGTGAGATAGTTTCTTAAGTTGGTCCATTCCTGGTCTTTCTCGTCACGTTCGTCCGCACTGTCTTTGCCTGCCGCCATGACATTGCCCAGACCTTCTTCCTCTTGCTCCTGACGAACTCGTACAGGCAGTCCGCATGCATCTCTCATGATGTCTTCGGTCAAACGACCGTCGCCTCCATTGCAGTAGTCTTCGATGAGTTGGTAGCAGTCTTCCATACTGTGATCCACCTCGAAGGCCCACTGCAACTTCAATCCCGCAATAGAGGCTTGTGATGTGGACAGAAACTTGCTGAGGCTGGGATCAGCTTCGACAATACCGTCCTTCTCATGATCTGGATAATGTCGCAGAAACTTGCCATGGACGAAGCGGGCCTTGGCTTTCCACACGAAGGAGCGTCTGAACATGGAGTTGAAATTGCCATTGGTCACACCGAGGAAAGCCATGACCCTGTTCACCTCCAGCCTTGTCCACCCAATCATTTGGAACATGCGAGTGCTGTATCCATAGGGCTTTCTGCCCATAATGCCATCGCCTGAAATTGTCTTTTTGTACAGGTCGATGTGCATCTTGCGATTCGTTTCCGGAGCTTCTTGACCCGTCAGGACGAAGCACTTCGCGAACGATTCAACTTGTTTTCGTAGTTCTTCGTCGAGGTGCCAAATGTTCGGGTCGAAATAGCTGTGATTGTGCTTGTACATTTCGGAGAGGTGGAGAGAATATAAACTCTGTCCAACGCCACCTGGTGAGATGCCGATGAATCACCGATCGACATTGAATCCTCTCTTGGCAATGGCGGCGGCAGCTTGGAAACACTTGAACACATCCAAGTTGCACCGAAATGTTCTCTCGTAAAATCTCTGGAGTCTCTCCATGTTAGCTTCCATGACTGGATCCAGCAGTGGATGTGGAATCCGCACATAACAGTTGTTCTGCGGACCCTTTTTCACCACTTCTACTGGAAGAAAGAAACCGGGTCGATCATATGCAAGGCAAAGATCATCGTAGCATATAGTTGACGATCTTCTGTCTTCCGACTCACACCACTCCACGAGCAAGAAAATCATCCTTGTCTGCATGAGCTCCTGCTTGATGATACAGGACACCTTCCAAGACCTAGATGCCATGTCCAGAGTCCACGATTCACGTGCATCTTGTCCGGATTGATCGCGACCGCGAACTTCCTCTTCGTCATCATCCAATCTCTGCGAGTACGCAGGTGTCTGAGATCTTTTGTTTGTGGCAGTCCTCATTCTGTGAAGTAGTCCGACTCCGACTCAAAGATCTGCATGTCCGCGGCGATGGCGTTAGCAACCGAAACTGCATCTCGATTGATTTCGGGCTTCATGCGTCGGAATATTCCTTCCAAACAACAAAAAAGTCATGAACACGGTGTAGAACAGCTTCAGGAGGAATTCCACCAAATGGCATGAAACAACCATCGTCATCGCAGATGAAAAGGAAACCTTTGTGGACACGCATGTGACAGTCACCTTCTACCATCCAGGTAATGGCCGCGGCGTCTGGCAACATAGGCTTATCACCGATTTTGCCAGTGGCCATGTGAACGGCCATCATGATCAGACGTCTCAGTTGGTCCGACATCCAGGGGTACTTTGCCTGGAGGGAGCTTATCATGTTCGTCGTGTTCTGCATCATGGTGTTAGGCTGCAGACAAACATCTGCTCCATATGTATCAAGGGTACTCTTGATAATGTCCAGGGATCTCGCAAACATATTTTTGCAGTCCAGAGCATGAGTGTTGGCTCCAGGCATCAATCTCCTTTTCTTGGCTATGACATGAGTATTTTTGTCCTCTTCCTCCAACATGAGTTCTTCCAGCGCAATCTCCATTTCATCTTTGGTTGGGGGGGGACCTGTAAGCCTGACGTCAAAGTGTAATGTGTCTGGAATATTGCCCTGACTATCTTGTCCGGGTGGCAGGCTTTCACATCCGATGGCACAGATCAGCGAGAATTTGTAGTCGCACAAATGGCCCAACCGAACACCGCTCTTTCAACATAGCTTCTCTGAGTTGTCGCTTGTACGGAACCAGAGTAGGTAGCGGGACCCAATCACGGTACTCTTGGCACCAACGCCGATGCTTTGCCACGCACGTGCTGCTGTTGCTGTAGCCATAAACTCGATAAGGTAATAACTCCTTCGATACCGGCTGTTCTGGCAAAACGCCCCGCTTCCCAAACCTCGACGAAGTCACGCAAATCGCCCTGCAGCGAAAAGATTCGCGGACAAAACTGTCGATGCCACGCATGTCCGGCTCCTTTTTGATTGTAACGGAAGATACCAGCCTTTTGTACATGGTATCGTCCCTTTTCGACGCATTGCCCCATGGCTGAAGACGGCGCTTTGTTTGCTGTAATCTCGACACAATTTGGCGCAATACCACCATGTCTCGCCAGCTGCAACTCTTCAACAAAATAGTCAACAATTGAGCTCTGCGGTGCTTGGCAGCACGAGACGCCTGTACCAATTTGCGGATTTCAGTGTAAGAGTGCACGACTTCTGTGAGAGCTTTTAGATGGTCGCGAGGGTTGTGCAAAACACGCCAACGTTTCACCGCTGGCTGACGTCGTTTCTTGTCTTTGGACGGCATGGCTCCGCAAACAATGTCAGGATACAGTAGGTTTAATGTTTTCGTGGCATAATAATGCTTTCATTCTAATTGCGAGTGATGCAACGACTTAGGTCATCTTATTCTGTAAAACACTGCACGGCACGACAAGATCTTACATCATACTGCATCGCGCTGTATCATGACAGTATGGAAATGTTTGACGTGATACTGTCGTGTAACGTGCCCTCTTCATTCTTGCTTGAGTCTTTGGGCTCCGAGGCTTAGGGCTGTAGAGTTTACAGCTGAAGGTGCAAGCCAGCAAGAATTGAGCCCGAACCATCATCATGCTGTGAATCCTAAACCCTACACACCCAGCTCTAATTCCTCTAAACGACACGTTCTACCCGACCCTGAACCCAATACCTTCAAATACCGTCCATGTCAACGCTACAATAAACAGGAGGTGAAGGAACAAGACCGTACAACTAAGTTTCGATCGGCGTGTGGTTATGTGAAAATGGAAACCAATAAGTAGTGAGACAAGTTGTAGTTACTCAGATGACGACGGGGTGTACGCCAGACCCTGAGTTGTATGATTTTGCTCGACTTTAAACTGCTTCCCTTGAAACGTATTTTCGACTTCAAATGATTTCCAAGGGAAACAAAAAAAAGGGGCTCGCCCTAAAACATAGGAAACTCAACAAACATCAACACGTTACAGTTACAACAAGGGCAAGGGATTTCACAGATCTGCTGGCAAAATCTGGCGGAAGTGATCAGTGATCGAGCAGAAAGCCTGGAAATACCGCGTTAAAACAGGGGCTAGGGATTTCACACATCTGCTGCCAAAATCTGGCGGAAGTGATCCGTGATCGAGCAGACAGAATGTAAATACCGCATTAAAACAAAGGCCAGGGATTTCACACATCTGCTGACAAAATCTGGCGGAAGTGATCGGTGATCGAGCAGAAAGCCTGTAAATACCGCATTAAAACAAGGGCTAGGAATTTCACACATCTGCCGGCAAAATCTGGCGGAAGTGATCGGTGATCGAGCAGAAAGCCTGTAAATACTGCGTTGAAACAAGGGCTAGGGATTTCGCACAACTGCTGGCAAAATCTGGCGGAAGTGATCGGTGACCGAGCAGAAAGCCTGTAAATACCACATTAAGACAAAGGCTAGGGATTTCACACATCTGCTGGCAAAATCTGGCGGAAGTGACCTGTGGTCGAGCCAAAGACCTGTCAATACCGCGTGAACACAACGGCTAGGGATTTCACACATGAGCTGGCAACATCTGGCCGAAACGATCCGTGACCAAGGGGCACGCGGGCAGGGCAGGGCAGGGCAGAGGGCAGAGGGCAGAGGGCAGAGGGCAGAGGGCAGAGGGCAGAGGGCAGAGGGCAGAGGGCAGAGGGCAGAGGGCAGAGGGCAGAGGGCAGAGGGCAGAGGGCAGAGGGCAGGGCAAGCAGCAGGGCAGGGCGGGCAGGCAGGGCGGGCAGGGCACAGGAAGGAGGGAGAAGGAGGGAGCGAGAGGAGGAGGAGAGGGAGGGGGAAGGGGGGCAGAGGAGGAGGGATGGAAGGGGAGAGGGGTTTCAGTGAGGGTGGAGGGGGAGGAGGAGGTGGAGGAGGTGGGGCGGACGTGGGGGCAGCGGAGCGGTGGGGTGGGTGGGTGGTAGAGGGGGGGGGGGGGGTGATCCGTGGGCCCCATCCACAGAACCCCAGGATTTCAATTAATTGAAATAATTGAAATGGGGCCGATTTCAATTATTTCGATTGTTTCAATTGTTGGAATCACCCAAATAATTGAAATAAGTGAAATGGGGCCGGATTTCAATTATTTTAATTATTTCAATTATTTCAATTAATTGAAATCGTGCGGTTCCTGAATCGAACTAGGAAACCTACCGATTTCAATTATTTCAATTATTTGGGGTTCCCGAATAATTCAAATAATTGAAATAATTGAAATCCTAGTGATCCGTGGGGCCCATCCACAGAACCACAGGATTTCAATTAATTGAAATAATTGAAATAATTGAAATGGGGCCGATTTCAATTATTTCAATTATTTCTGTGAGGCGTACTGTTGTGCAGTGAGCCGACTTCGAAAGGCTTTGAAAGCTCAAAAGCGACAGCACTCCGTTAGCAGGTCATGAGCCCCACGCATCTCTTTGTAAAGGAGTTGTAAGACGTGGGCACGCCATGGAGCTCGGAGCGGTGCAGGACGAGGCCAGCGAGGCCGTAGCTGCAGCCGGCGACGATGATCCAGGCCTGCCCCCAGAACGGGAGGAAGCCCGTGATGGTGAAGGAGATAGAGTCCCCGAAGTCCGTGTGGACGATGATGTTCGGGAGCCAGACTACGGTGCTGGTGAAGTTCCGGGGCAAACCACGAGTGAGTTCGTGGGCCAGGACGTGAACTTGACTCTGCCGAATTCGAGTGGCGCTTTGCCGGACAGACAGCAAAGGCCAGTTCCGGAGGCCTTGGATGATGGTCTGGTTCGAGGGACAATGGCGACGGATGGGGCGGTGGAGGCCCAGTTGCAGAGTTCAGCTTCGACCAGACCTGCCTCGAGGGAACGAAGGAATGAAGATGTGGGCCAAGTGGCTCGCAGTTTGGCCTACATGACATCGCTAGTGACGACGCTTGTTGGGAGAATGGAAAGGGTGGAGCAAGCCCAGTTTAGAAATGGTTCTTCTGCTTCCGGGAGAAGGACGACAACGGCGACCTCGGCGAGGATGGAGACGCCTATGGGCGGGACACCAGAGGCTGGAAGTGTGGGCTGGGTAGACATACAGGGCTTGGGAGAAAGGGTGGCTCAGATGACCATGGGCGGGCAAACTGGCCCGGCTTTACCGGAGCGCCCGTTGGCCACCTTGGACTCCATCATGGCCGGCACTTTCAGCTCAGATGATTCGGATACTGCACGCCTTCGGGCGACTCAGGCTGAGGGACAGATCAGAGGAGTACCTGGAGCTCTGCTGGGACCGCTTGCAGAACCGATGGGAACTGTACTGCTGCAGGGAAATCCATGTGGTGCGGGTCTTCAGATGGCGCCTTCCGAGATGGCTTTGGGATCGTATTTGCCTCCTATGCCGTTTCCAAGTGCGCCCTCGGGATATCCTTTGCAGGCACCCCCGCTTCAGATTATGCCACAGGGATCCGTGTCTACAGCGTTGCAGTCTCCAGGAATGCCACAGGGATCCGTGTCTACAGCGTTGCAGTCTTCAGGAATGCCTCAGGGATCCGTGTCTACAGCTTTGCAGTCTTCAGGAATGCCTCAGGGATCCCCGCCTTCAGCTTTGCAGTCTTCGGGAATGCCTCAGGGAACCATGTCTTCGACGGGGCAGTCTACTGGAATGCCTCAGGGACCCATGCCTCTGGCGCTGGCACCTTCAGGAATGCCTCAGGGATCTCCGTCAACAGCTTTGCCGCCTTCAGGAATGCCGCAGGGATCCGCATCTGCCGCTTTGCAGTCTTCGGGAATGCCTCAGGAATCTGCTTCGGGATTGCTCTTGGCGTCTTCGAGTGAGGTCCATGATGTGGCAGCTTACACTAAAGAACTGGCCTTGAGAGAGGGTTTGCGGTCAGATGCGCAGCGTGAAGCCAATGTTGTGGAGACTCCTTTTCTCAGTGCGGCTTCTGAGGTGATGCCTGTGCTGGAAGATCGTGGGGATCCAGCTGTTCTTCCTCCTGGTCTTGAAGGGCGAAGAGGGCAAGGTCTTGTTATGGGAGCTCCAGCAACGGGGCTTGTGTATGCTGAAGGGAGTTGGAGGCCCTACATGATGGTCCAGGGGCAAATAGTGATTCAGGCGGTGGAGCCTACAGGTGCGTCGGCGGTTGGTCTCTCTTTGGCCGCCCCGACGTACCATCCTACAGGAGTCGCAGGAGCGAGCGACCGGAATGCAGTTGTGGGGAGTGGTGGACCGACTATCCCACCACTTCCTCCACCCCCGCCTCAGAGATCTACGTCTCCTTTCACACCCTCACGGAGGACGTCTACGGGATGCAATGCGACTCCAGGGGGGACACCAGTGCCCCCTCCTCCGCCGCCGACTCCTTCTACAAGTTCGCCTGGAGGTTATGGTACCCCGGCCACGACAGGGGAGGTCGAGGAACCAAGCAAGTTGGTGATGAAACTGCCAGCCCTTTCGGCGACAAAGGGGACCGATGCGGCGGTGGTGGCGGGAGATTGGCTGGCGCAACTGGAACCCAGCATGGCGAGCCTTAGCAGCACTGCAGCAGTTTGGTGGCAGCAGCTAATGGTGAGGGTTCGGGACCTTTACCAGAGATGGCTGGAGTCTACGCCGGTGGATCGTTTGCAGATCCGCCAACATGTCCTGGCGCAGAGGCCTCCTTTGGACAAGTACCAGCGCGTGGAGCAGCGGGCAAGCATGCTGTTACTTGACAGCCTGCCAGAGGACTTGAAAGCCGAGGTTGTTTCAGTGAGGGCAGTGACGGTGGAAGCGATGGTTTTTCTGGTCCATTGCTCGTTCCAACCTGGAGGCTCGGCCGAGAAAGCGTATCTGCTGCACTTTCTCACGTCTCCGGACACAGGTGCGGCGGTGGATGTGGCAGTCACCTCTATCCGGAAATGGATTCGGCTCTTGAGGCGTGGCAAGGAGTTGCAGCTCGTGGTGCCGGACCCAAGTCTTCTATGTCGGGGTCTGGATAAACTTCATGCGCAGGTCTTCACGCCTAGCAAGCACCCGAGCGCGACCTTCAGAATCGCAAGCTTCAAACTGGAACGCCAACTTGACTACAAGGCGAAGGCCTCGGACGTGGAGGACTACGCACAGCTCATTTTGGGTGAGCTGGAAGCTGCGCTTCTCTCGCAGCCTTTGACGTCGCAGCCCAAGTTGAATCGCCTCGAGGAAGCGAACCAGCCTGAAGGGGCAAAAGGCAAGGCGAAGGGCAAGGGCAAACAGCAGCAGCCGTGCTGGGCATGGAGCGACGGTTCAGGTTGCAAGTATGGTCAGAACTGTATGTTCAGGCACGATCCTCTCGGTCCAGGTCATTGCTGGGTTTGCGGCAGCAGTGGCCATCTCAAGCCGCAGTGCCCGTACAACGGCCAAGGGGGGTCATCTTCCTCGGCGGCGCCTGGACCCTCGAGCTCTACTACGACTGGAGATGGTGCTGGAAAAGGTGCGGGAGAAGAGAAGCCTCCTCGGAAACCGAGGAAGAAAGGCGGCGGGAAAGCGAAGGATGCTGTGCGCAAAGCTGAAGAGGCCGCGTCGGTTGAGGGGGGTGCGACTACAACTACGACACCGGCTACCACAACGACCTCTGGGACGGCACCCCCTGCGGATAATGCTCGTGACGAGTTCTTCGAGGAGGCGGCCAAGGCCCTTAAGTCGTTGAGGTTGGCAAGGGCGACGCTGGACCGAATGTGTGTCCTTGGAGGTGGGAGAGGAAAAGCTCTTGTGGACTCGGGAGCTACGACTTCGATGAGGTCGGGCAGTGGTCAAGAGCTGATGGGACTTCCGAAGCGCAAGGTCCTGCGGGCGGAGGGCGAGGCCATCTTCTACCAGCTCCCCGGAGGAACCTTGTTGACGGAGAGGGAGACGACGCCGATCCTGGCGATGAGCGACCTGATGGCCATTGGATGTCGGGTTTCCTGGTCCACGGGAGAGGGATGCAGGATTGTTCATCCGGTTCGCGGTGATCTTCAAGCTCAGGTTGAAAATGGCTGCCCGGAGGTGGACGGCCAGTTGGGTCTGGATTTGATCCAGGAGGCGGAGCTCACGAAGCTTCGTCGTCGTGAAGCGGAGGTGGCGGTGAACAAGTTGGTGGAAACTTGCAAGTCCAGGCCAGTGATGGATTGGGAGCTCGGAGCCAAGACGGTGAAGGACCTTCATTCTGGAGTGGGCGCGGCCTGGGCGTGGTTGCATCGGGCCTTTCCGGAAGCTCCGTCCTGGTTGGTGTCGGCGATCCCCGTGGTGGCTTCTATGGATGGAGCCAAAGTGCCGTGGAATCGGCGCGAAAGGAAAAAGTGGAAACAGGCGTCTTCGGTGGCTGTACACCTGTTCTGCGGAAAGGACAGAGCTACGTGGAAGTCGAGGGCGGAGGCCGCTCATGTGGTCACGGTGGACCAAGCTGAGGACATCATGGCGGATGATACGTACGCCGCGCTCCTGCATTTGGCCCTCCCTGGGAAACTGAAGATGGTGTTTGGAGGTCCTCCCAGCCGTACTTTTCGGAATGTGCTGGATGCGAGTGGTGGCCCTCCTCCTCTCAGGACACGATCATGATTTTTCGTATGGTGTTCCTTTGGATGGTGGCGAAAGCCGTGGCCCGAGCAGCGGAGGAGCGGGACCCCGACTTGATTCTGGAGCACCCGGAGGATCTGGATGAGATCATGAAGAACCATGGAAAGAGGTCCCAGTGGGCACTGCCGGAGATGCAGTCGATGGCCTCTTTGTGGGCCTTTCCGGAGATCCAGTTCCTCAAGGAGAGCCTTGGTTTGCATTGGTGGCAGTTTGATCAAGGACCTCTGGGGCATCCTCGTAGAAAGTCAACTCGTGTCATGGCTACTAGGGCTTGCCCTCGCGAACTTCGGGAAGTTAGGGGTCCTTCGGTGGTTTCTGAGGAGGAGAAGGACCATGACGGGAGCGGGTTTCGCTCGGTGCTGTGGGCGTCATGGGCCCCCCAGCTCAAGGAGATCATCAAGTCCGAGGTCGAGGTCAGTTTGGCCGGTGGCACCCTGGAAAGGGTGATGAAGATGGATGCGGGTTTCCTGGAGCATCTTCAACGGGACCACATCCCGTACCGTCGCGACTGCCGGGCGTGCTTGGCTGGATCCTTTCGCGGCCACATTCATCGGAGAATTGTGGCGCCAGATGCATGGTGTTTGTCTCTGGATGTCATTGGTCCAGCGCGACCAGGAGAAGATGAAGTGTTGAAGAAGGTCAAGTACGGCTTGATCGGAACGTTGGTTGTTCCCGATGTTCTTGGAAAGCTTCTGGAGCCAAACGAACCTACGGGCGAAGATGATGGTCGCGGTGTGGGAGAGGTTCTCGACGAGCCGGTGTGGGAGGATGGCGATGTGGCAGACGATGAAGCTGAGGATGTTTCCGCGGCGGAAAAATCAAGAGCTGCGAAGGAGGAGGCCAAATGGAAAGACCTTGTTGAAAAGGACTTGGTGGCCGTTTCGGGGATTTTTAATTTTTTGGTGTTTTGTGGGGTTCATTGCATGCAACCAACTGCAGCCTTCAGGCTCGAGGGGTCAGACCAGGCATCAATCCAACCAGGTGTTTCCAGTGGGAACACCTGGTTAGAATTGATGCCTGTCGGGGGATGCACGGACATCCCTCACCCTTGCAAGATGTCTGTGGTCCCACCACCGACATCTTGCAGGGGTGAAGGATGTGCGTGCATGAACCCCGACCGAGGCCCCAGCGTGCATGGATAGAGACATCCATCACCCCCGCAAGATGTCTGTGGTCCCACCACTGGCATCTTGCGGGGGTGAGGGATGTCCTTAACCCGTGCCGCCATGTCTTCATGGACTTCGTCGTGATCACTCTTCGGCTGTGGCCGCAGCCGCAGCCTCAGGGGAGGGGGGCAGGGCGACCACAATAATCATAGTATTATACATAATCACCTGCCGACGGCCGCCGCGGCTCTTCGAAGACAAGCCGCTTGCATGCATGCCTAGAGTGTTTGCTCACCACATGCAATCAGAGTCAGCTGCTTTGACTTGCGAGTGTTGCCACTGGAGTGTTTGCCGAGGACCACATGCGATGACAGTCAAGCGGCTTGCCTTCACGAAGAGCCGCGGCGGCCGTCGGCAGGTGTTCAAAACCTCAGTGGAACTGACTGAAACCTGGGAGCCTAAAGTGCCTGGGAGCCTAAAGTGCCTGGGATACTGCATGCCTAGAGTGTTTGCTCACCACATGCAATCACAGTCAGCTGCTTTGACTTGCGAGTGTTGCCACTGGAGTGTTTGCCGAGCACCACATGCAATGACAGTCAGTTGCTTTCACTTTAGGCTCCCAGGCACTTTCGGCTCCCAGGCACTTTAGGCTCCCAGGTTTCAGTCAGTTCCACTGAGGTTTTGAACACCTGCCGACGGCCGCCGCGGCTCTGCAAAGGCAATCCGCGAGTGTTGCAGGCGCCCGTGGAGTGTTGCCCCTGGAGTGTTTGCCGAACACCAAATGCAATGACAGTCAGCTGCTTTGACTTGCGAGTGTTGCCACTGGAGTGTTTGCCGAGCACCACATGCAATGACAGTCAGCTGCTTTGACTTGAAATTCCTGTCACGGTGGCTCCCAGGCACTTTAGGCTCCCAGGCACTTTAGGCTCCCAGATTTCAGTCAGTTCCACTGAGGTTTTGAACACCTGCCGACGGCCGCCGCGGCTCTTCGAAGACAAGCCGCTTGCATGCATGCCTAGAGTGTTTGCTCACCACATGCAATCACAGTCAGCTGCTTTGACTTGCGAGTGTTGCCACTGGAGTGTTTGCCGAGCACCACATGCAATGACAGTCAGCTGCTTTCACTTTAAAGGCTCCCAGGCACTTTAGGCTCCCAGGCACTTTAGGCTCCCAGGTTTCAGTCAGTTCCACTGAGGTTTTGAACACCTGCCGACGGCCGCCGCGGCTCTGCAAAGGCAATCCGCGAGTGTTGCACGCGCCCGTGGAGTGTTGCCCCTGGAGCGTTTGCCGAACACCAAATGCAATGACAGTCAGCTGCTTTGACTTGCGAGTGTTGCCACTGGAGTGTTTGCCGAGCACCACATGCAATGACAGTCAGCTGCTTTTACTTTAAAGGCTCCCAGGCACTTTAGGCTCCCAGGCACCTTAGGCTCCCAGGTTTCAGTCAGTTCCACTGAGGTTTGAACACCTGCCGACGGCTGCCGCGGCTCTTCGAAGACAAGCCGCTTGCATGCATGCCTAGAGTGTTTGCTCACCACATGCAATCACAGTCAGCTGCTTTGACTTGCGAGTGTTGCCACTGGAGTGTTTGCCGAGCACCACATGCAATGACAGTCAGCTGCTTTCACTTTAGTCTCCCAGGCACTTTAGGCTCCCAGGTTTCAGTCAGGTCCACTGAGGTTTGAACACCTGCCGACGGCCGCCGCGGCTCTTCGAAGACAAGCCGCTTGCATGCATGCCTAGAGTGTTTAATCACCACATGTAATCACAGTCAGCTGCTTTGACTTGCGAGTGTTGCCACTGGAGTGTTTGTCGAGCACCGCATGCAATGACAGTCAGCTGCTTTCACTTTAGGCTCCCAGGCACTTTAGGCTCCCAGGTTTCAGTCAGTTCCACTGAGGTTTGAACACCTGCCGACGGCCGCCGCGGCTCTTCGAAGACAAGCCGCTTGCATGCATGCCTAGAGTGTTTGCTCACCACATGCAATCACAGTCAGCTGCTTTGACTTGCGAGAGTTGCCACTGGAGTGTTTGCCGAGCACCACATGCAATGACAGTCAGTTGCTTTCACTTTCGGCTCCCAGGCACTTTAGGCTCCCAGGCACTTTAGGCTCCCAGGTTTAAGTCAGTTCCGCTGAGGTTTTGAACACCTGCCGACGGCCGCCGCGGCTTTGCAAAGGCAATCCGCGAGTGTTGCACGCACCCGTGGAGTGTTGCCCCTGGAGTGTTTGCCGAGCACCAAATGCAATGACAGTCAGCTGCTTTGACTTGCGAGTGTTGCCACTGGAGTGTTTGCCGAGCACCACATGCAA